AGATATTTCAATAAAATGAAAGCATTCCAGATTATGAAAACATTCCAAATTATTGTCTCTTGACAGACCAATATTGACCTGACTTACATTTTTTTTTTTTTTTCTGGATAAGAGATTTACTACACTGTTTTTCCCTGCTGTGGTGGAGCTCTCAATATCTACTGACAGTGTTACAGAACCCAGGCCTGTAGTTTCGGCCCTGGTCTGGGCCAGTAGTTTAGTCCAACAGGGCCACCTTTCTGCCCTGCTGTGGGGTTGAAAGTATGGATTGATTCAATTTACTTAAGAAAATGTGGGGAATGCCTTCAATATACTAGCATTGAGGTAGAGTAACAAGGAGAACAATCTAGGCAGGAACCTGTTTTTATGAAACACTCTACTAGCTGAGAGTTTTGTCAGTGACTGCTGTTATAGTTAAAAATAAAGTCTTTTAAAAAGGAATGCTGTCTTCACTTAGTTTTTAGACACTGGCTGGAGGCTGGTCAGTTTCTTTCTTTGAGCTGCTGATTAAGTCCATACCCCCAAGGACTTCCCTTATCAGGTTCTCACACTCTGGAACTCTGCACCATCTCTAATCGCCTCAGGGCCAGATACTAGACAACTAAGAACAGCTTCTATGAGCCAGAGAAATTATTCAAATAAGCCAGTTCGCAGGGAGCTCAGGAAACCTAGCTAACCCCACCCAGCTTGCCAAGCACAAACTGCCTGCTACAGCTCAAGCTTGTTGTTACTCTGTCCCCAGGTGCAGTCCCTCTGTGGCCCTGGGTGGCACCGTTTTGTTCTTTTATCTGGAACTGCAGGTAGACAGAAGTTTTGTTATCCATCTATTTGAGAGTGTTGGTGTGTACCTCACCATCTAAAGAACTTTCTTATAAAATTTAGCTGCAACCAGCAAAATTTTTGTTTTTCCCTTCATTGTTATGGAAATTGCAAAGGATTTAGAGGTACTAGTTGGTGGTGAATAGGAGGTGGAATCACGATTTTAATACAGGAGAATTCTTTTTTAAAAAAATTAAGTAACTTAATTTCCCCACCAAGGACTCTAGCAGGTTAATACACCCCATTTATTCACATATTTATTGTGTGTTTACTATTTTTTTTTTGAGATGGAGTTTCGCTCTTGTTGCCCAGGCTGGAGTGCAATGGCGCGATCTCAGCTCACTGCAACCTCCGCCTCCTGGGTTCAAGCAATTCTCCTGCCTCAGCCTCCTGAGTAGCTGGGCTTACAGGCGCGCGCCACCATGCCCAGCTAATTTTTTGTATTTTTAGTAGAGATGGGGTTTCACCATGTTGACCAGGATGGTCTCGATCTCTTGACCTCGTGATCCACCCATGTCAGCTTCCCAAAGTGCTGGGATTACAGGCATGAGCCACCATGCCCAGTTGTGTGTTTACTATTTACTGTGGCCCTGGAATCATAACATCAGGAGGTATGCAATAAACAGAAAGTGTGTATCCTTCTCTTGAGAAGCCTATAGATTAATGAAGGAGACATGATATGCAATTAAAATGATTAGAGAGAAAAAAATCAATCATGTAGTAATGTAATCAAACCATCCCTAAGACCAAAAAAAAAAAAAAAAAAAGAAAAAGAAAAAGAAAGAAAGAAAAAAGAAAACAATGCTAAAGAACTACAGAAATAAGTTTGCTTGCAATTTTCAATAACTAACTTAAAATCCCTTTTTTAGACTTTCCTAGTTATTTTGCTGGATAAATGTTTGTGTTACTGCTCTGTCCCTCAGTTCATTCTTCCCAGCTCTGAAAACCTTTCTCTGAGGCACACAGGGCCTGGCTGTTTCCAGCCTTGCTATGAGAAGCTCAGATGTTTTGGAGTCATGTGGATTTTGAGCTGAAGTAGCTAACAAGGTTCTCTCAAGGGATGGATTTGGAGGAATGTGTTGGCAGTTCAGATCAGATGAAGCTATTTATTTTAAAACTTGGGTGCGTTTCAAAAAGGAAAATGGTTTCAGCCCAAATTCATTTGCTGTACCAACCCTCCTGGTTGGGGAATTGAATGTTTAGCTAATTTATTTTTGATGAGCAGGCTTCTGTGTGTTTTAAATGATGGCTGACTGGCCTGGAATTTGGACTCCTCTAGAAGGCATTGGGTGTTGCTCTATGGCTTTCAAGGGAACTCATGGTTTTCCTGGAGGAGATGTAGGAAGCTGTAGTTGATGAAGCCTCTGCCCTTTCTGTGGACCTACTCTCCAGTGACTTTCAATCATTCTTCCTAACTAGCAATTCATGCTTTCTTATTAAATATCTACCTTGAGTAAAAGATTGTGGCAGCCTCTGCAAGGAATGCCAAACACGTCAACATAGAGAGGAGGCCAGGACTCTGTACAAGGCAGAATACGCGCATTGCCATAAAAGAGGCATAAAGTGCATGGAGTGAGGAAAGAATCACTTCAAACTGGGTGAATCAGATGGAGCTTTACAGAAAGAGAAGTACTTGAGCTGGGACTTGGAGAACAGGTTTGATTTGGCAGCTAGAGAAGGAAACTGTAAACTGCAGTGGGCCAACTGTCCTCTCCACTTGTTTTGATAAATAAAATTGTGTTGGAACACAGCCAATACATTGATGTATTGTCTACAACTGCTTTCAGACAACAGAGTTGAGTAATTGTGACAGAAGCTGTATGGCCCTCAAAGTACAAAAAAATTTACTATCTGGCTCTTTAGAGAAAAAGCTTGTGACCCCTGTTTAAAGTCAGTTGTTTAAGGGAATGATATATGCCCTTGCTATTTGGACTTGATGTAGGCCAAAATATATGACTTCATTTGGCAGGCATTCTGGAGACAAAGTGACTCTGAGTGCTGGGAGTGTTTGGATGATATGATGGTTCTGAATTTCAGGACAGTGAGTGTGGCAGATGGACTATGGAAGAGAGATGCTACAGGCAGGAAGAAAAAAATTCATAAGTTCATGTTGTCACCTAAGTGAAAAATAATGAATCTGGATTAGAAGCATAGCTGTGATGAAAGAGAGAAGACACAAAAGGTATTGTGAATAAAGCACTGTAAGGGTAGACCAAAGGAAAGAGAGAATTGAGGATGACTCTGGAGTCTTGAGCCCGAATGACTGGGAATGTCAATGACCCTTTCTCTGAACATCCATCCATCTGAGCTGGATGAATTGGGTACTCCTCCCATCCTTCCCCAATTAGGAGAAGGGATAAAGCTGGAGTGGCTCCATCCCTCCAGGGCAGCTAGTGTTGAGAGGGGAGGTGGTCAGAAGCTTTTGTTATAGAGGGAGCAAGACCCAAAGCCTTGCCTATGGAAAAATGTCTTTTACTAGACAGAAAATCAGGCTATGTTATCTCTGAGACAAAAATATGGCATGAGTTGGAGGGGTGTCCTTATAATTTGGGTCACCTTGGAGGCTTGCCAGATGAAAGATAAAATGCCCAGTTAAATTTGAATTTCAGATTAACAAAGATTTTTTTGTGAGAATATCCCAAATATTGCATGGGAGATATTTATATTAAAGATTACTTGTGGTTGATCTGGAATTCAAATTTAATGGAATAAATTTCAGATCAACAGTCAATAATTTTTTAGTGTAATATTTCCCAAGTATGGAATATATTTATAATAAAAATTATCTGTTGTTTGTCTAAGTTCAAATTTAGGTGAGCTTTTATTTTTCTCTAAATCTGACAACACTACTGTGCTGTGGTAAGCAGCCATAGCTCTCACTTTTGGTCAGACAGAGCACAAATTGGGACACCTGTATTTGCTTTCCCATGTCAGAGTAGAGTTGACATCCCCAGAGTTTCTGGAGCCCACAGCTGAGTGTAGGATAGCTCAGTGAACATCAGGCCTGGGTATGAGGCACTTTTCTGGAGTGTGGACAAAGGATGGACCCAGGGGTGTGATAGGATAAGGTTTTCAGTGATGGTGGTTTGATCATCTAGCTGAGACTTAAAAGAGGGTCTGGATTAAACAGGAAAAGCAAGTTCAAGATGGAGAAAAATTCCTTAGAGGAGCCTCCTTTCAAATACATAATTCTGGAAGGAATTGTTTTGTGACAGAACAAAGCAACAGCTAGGCTAGGTAAAGGTTCCAGCTTCTATCACACTGGCTCCAGTGTACAGATCTGCTTACCTCAGTCCTTTGGAACTTTGATATGTTAGCTCAGTAAATAGGTGAACATTATCTATCCACAGTCATGGAGCTATGTGGTAGTTAATTTTTTGTGTCAAGTTGGGTAGACTATGGTATCCAGTAATTTGGTTTAATACCAGTCTAGATATTGCTGTGAAGGTATTTCTTAGAGGTGATTAAAATTAAAGTCAGTAGACTTTAGATAAAGCTGATCACTTTCCATAGCATGGGTGGTCCTTATCAAATCAGTTAAATGCCTTAAGAGAAAAGACAGGTTGCTGAAAGGGGAAGGAATTCTGCCTCTCAGCTGCTCTTGAACTCAAGACTGCAACATCAACCCCTGCTGGAATTTTGCAGGCTGCTATCCTGCCCTGCTAGATAGCCTCTTAAACTGTATTAGTCAATTACTTAAAATCTCTTTCTCTCGCTTTCCCTCTTTCTGTCTCTGTTGTGTTTCTCTAGAGAACCCTGCCTCATACAGGCTGCCACACAGGTAATCCTGGAGTGGCAATGACTTCCATCCCACTTCTCACCAATCTCATCCAGAGCCACTGCTGGTTTCTGGCAGCCATAGATTCCTCTTCCCAACTTCAGGCCTGTGCAACAAAACCGAACTCCCTGGTTACATCAAGATACAGTCTTTAGTCAGAGGAGGGCAGGACCCACCTGGCTTGGGACACACATCCAAGGGCTGTCATATAAGAGAGTGGGTTGCTCCCCATAGCTTGATGGGTAGAGCCTTGGCCTTGCAACTTTGGGGTCTGGGGCTGTGTCCTTTGACCTCAGAGATGCTGTCAACACAGCAGCTCAAAATCACTCTGCACAGAATGTGCTGTAGAGCAGTCTGTGTCTAAGAAGGCTATTTCACCAAATTTCTTTTCCTCTTTCTCCAGCCCCCTCACTGGAGAGATGATGCAAACAAAGACATGCAGGTGGACATGGAAAATCGGGTGGATGGTATGTCTGCCCTTCTCCCAGCTCCCTAGCAACAACCAGATTATCCTTTTATAAGTCTTTTTATGGAAACTCTAGCTTTTCTGTTCAGGTCTCTTCTCTGTTTTTTGTTTCTCAGCATCTTTCTCCCTGCCTGTCTGTGTCTATCTATTTCTCTTTATCCTTTCCTCCCTCCCACCACACCCTATGTCTGTCTCTGTCCCTCTCTGCATGTTTCTTTCTCTCTGGTGTGATTTCCCACATTAACCACCATCCATTTCTTTGATTCCTTCTTGGCAATGAGAGCTACAGCACCATTATGCAACAAGCAGTCCTGCTTCCTTGCTACCTTGAAATAATAATGTTTCATAGTGACAAATGGATACGGTTAACAATGAAAGTAAAATGCTCAGCAGGCAGGGGTATGACTATGTTAGATTTCTCTGCTGGTAAAATGGACAGTGGCCTAAGAATCTCTAAAGAAAGATTTGTATATGGGAATAGTTGGTGATGTTTGCCAGGTGGACTACTCTGCCATTTTATTCTTAATTTAGCTTCTATGAATCTCCAGACTAAGTTCTCAAAGGTGAAACAGTAGTCACTCTTAATTTACTAAGTTTTTCTCTTGTCCTAAGAAACTTAAAATATGTTAGTGGATGTTAAAACCTGGCCTTTCCAGATTTACAACTGTTATTTTTCTTTGATAAAAAAAAAATTAAGACACACAAAAACACTCAATCTGAATTAATGAAGAAACATAATGCTTTTGGTGCCCTGGTGATTGAAGTTTCTACATTGTGTCAGAAAAGCCTCAATTAGAAGAACGGAGTTTTTCTAGCCTTCTCTTCCCTCCTCACCACTAAGAAGAATGCAAGATTAATATTAAGAAATCTCCCACCCAAATGCTGTCCGCATGTGCATATGTGCATGTCTGTGTTTTGTACGCTGCATGTGTGACTTTCTCCTGGGTGCAGATGGCTACTCCAGGAGCAACATATGTGGGCTGTGTATGTTTGAAAGTCAGCCTGGTTGTGCGCATGGAAAGAAGAAAACAAGAGAGTGAGGTGGAAACCACACAAATCTAAATCAAAAGCAACTGTTCTACCATGAGGAAAGCAGGCAAACCTTGCTTTGTGCACACTCCACTCTTTCTTTGCCGCCCAGACTGATCTTTGAAATAAAATAAAGAAGCGTGGCAAACTAACTGAAACATAGGTAGAAATAATATATTTGGGTTTCAGAAAGAAAAAAAAAATAACCTGGCATAGCTTAAAAGGCACCCATTTCATAACAACACATGTGCAAAGAATTACAATAATTGCAGTGCACACATCAGGAACAGACAGAGTGAACAATGAATATTAAAAACACATTCCTAGAGCTGGCCCTGTGGCTTGGCACACAGCATGAAGACCTGCAAGGGAGTCAAAGGAAGCCTCTGCTTTTCCAGAGCTGTCAGGGCTTGGCAGGAGCTGAGGTGGGAACCTTTGGTGTGTGAGGAAAGTAGACGGAGGAAGGTGGTGGAGACTATGCCCAGTGGTGTGACTCTTGTCGCCTCCTGGCACAGCCTAGGGTGGCTTCAGGAGGGTTTCGGAGAAGAAGTCAGCCTCAGCCATTTGGGGATCCAGTTCAGAGCTGAAGTGGAGCCAGACTGAGAAGGAGGAGGTATGGGGATAGAAAAACAAACACCAGAGAACAAACAGGCAGAAGGTAGTGCTTGGAACAGCCAGCCTGTGTCCTGCATGAAAATCCCAAGTACTCTCTCTCTCTCTACTTCCAGGCTGCCTACAACATGATCTAGCATGAGAGACTTTACCGGTGCCGAGACTTAGACTGGCGAAGTGTTTACCTTCATGGACTAAATACATTGATTTGCCTTTTTTCTTTTAATATTTGCTGTACAGTGAGGGGATGAATTCCTCTGGTGGTGTTTTCCAGAACCTTCAAAGGCACATTACCCAAACATTAAAGGTACATAATGATCTTTTCAGTGAATCCCTTCCATTGTCAGCAAAGACAAAGGCCCTTCTCTTAAGTACAGCTTTGGCTTTGAATGTTCAGATTTTGCCTCTTGCCATTGGCAGGGAATCGACTCTGGAATCCTTGCATCTTTGGCAATGAGAGAGGTCAGAGGGTGGGAATTTCTAACTGGAGAGTTTGGTTCTCATGCTGAGAATTGAGGTCTGAGGATTCTTAAGCTACAGGCCATAAACGTTCTAAGAGACATGGAGATAGAATTCAGGGAGTGCCATTAAGGTGGATGAAAAAAAGAGAGACATCTTTATTTTTGCTAATCTCTGAAATTTAGCATTCTTTCTATCACAAATGTAGGAAACAAACTGTGGTCATAAGTAATACTTATGACTTTGTCACGAGTAAAAATTACAGATATTTTAATGTCATTTTGTTGTTGTTTCAGATGTCTCCAAGTTATTATTTCTATTCCTCATAACTTTGGAATTATAGCAATTATTAGATCTGTTATAAAATCTTGTTATTTTATGCATTAATGAAGAGGCAATTATAATAAAATACTTTGATAACTGTATTTTCATGTAATTGGTTTCCCTTGGCATCATATTATGTACTGTATTTTATTCTTGTTAAAAAACATGATTCTGAGAAGGGGTCCACAGAGCACATGGCTGCATTACCAGAAGGTTCCATGGCACACACAGCATTTGCCAGATAGCAAAGAGAATCCAGACTCAAAAACAGTCATGACACACAGGGGATGCCACAGTGGCCCGGCCTCATGTGCGTCTCCACACATGGGGAGAGAAGGAAAAGGCAAACATATGTCTCCAGACACAATACTGAGGATTTAACAAGGAAATTTTACTTACTACTTCTTAGATATGCTCAGCAAATGTTAGCATTCGCCAAGGCGAACATTTGCATTTTCTCTTCAACAGTTTTTGGCAGAGCTCCAAAACTGTTACATGAAAAATAAAATAAAATAAATCCCCCCAGCACCTCCAGTGTCTCCAGATACTGGCCAAGAGTGTTTGCCTTGAATCACAATCAATAAGGTGGAAAAAGACTGATGATGAACTGTTTTGCCAGTTTCTACACCAAGTGGAAGGACAGAACAGCTGTAAAAGGGGTGGGGAGAGAATCAGATAATACAAGATAAGATAGGGTGACATCTCTGAAATCAAGGCATCAGCTAACAGAACTGACACCCACAAATGTCAGAGAGGCGAGTTAGAAAGTTCCTGTATTTCCAATTGTCCTCACAATAGAGGGCAGGAGGAGTTCAAATTTGGAAGCAATGATTCCTTTGATGGATTAGAACCTGAAATCCTGCTGAACTCCCCTTGTACCAATACAGAATCTAACACTGGGAGGGGTGCTGAGAGAAACAGGCTACTCACAACACTTCAAAATATGAATCTCAGTATCTGACTCACAAGGGACCAAAGTTCTGTCCTGGAGAAAATATGGAAAATGGTAGTAACCTTCATGGACAATCTTTTTCAACTTGAAATATTGAATGTTATACTAGGGTTCTTGCTATATAAGTAAGTCAAGAGAAAGAGAGAGAAATGTTTGGAAGGATCTAGATTCATTATGTACCAGACACTATATTAGTTTTTTGGGTCTTATTTTTTGTATGTTTATCTACCTTATTCATCCCTTTCAACACTTATAAGAGGTATTATCAGCCCAAGTCTTTCGGATGAGGGCACACTGAAGTTTAGATAATGAAATAGCTTGATTGAGGTCACAGAGCTAGTCAGTGGGATTTAAACCTAGGTTTGTCTGATCCCCCAAACCACTATTCAGTTATTTCAAATGGTTCCAATTATAAAAATCTCTGTGACTGAATCATTAAAATCCAAGAAGTCATTATATAGTTGAAGGATTAAATTTCAAGTTAGGAACATAAATGGCAATGTGGTAACAAGTTACATGTTGTCAAGAGAAACTTTATAATAGCAAACAAAATTGTTTCTCATCTGCAGAAGCCAAATGGGCTTGTCCATCTATTTTAATCCTCAACTTAAATAAATATAAAAGCAGGCACCTGGAACTGAAGAGCTCCTTGATGATCTACTTATTTTCCCACATAGTAGTGCCCTGGATCTATTGTCAGAATGTGAGACTGCCATCACCATTCCTTGTCAATAGGAAACAGGAAAATCCAGCTGGTGTATAAGATTCTGACCAGATTTTGTTGAGTTCAAAGTGTGTCTTTGCACGAATTACCATCTCTTACCAACTGTATCTGCAGGGCACCCAAGGTTAGAGTTAAGGCCAGGAAAACAGCTATTAAAAATTAGGAAAAGGTAACAAAAGAAAATCTCAAAGACATGCCAGGATATTCATCAAGGAAGCACTGCTCTTCACCATCCATATGCCTTCTCCCATTTCAAGGAAAGCCGTGATGAGAGAGTGGACATATTTAAGGTCCTCCTTAAAATAATTTTGCTCCATCACATCATGGCAAAATATTGTAGTCTACAAGCTACAGGCATGAGGTGCTACTTTTGGATGACCTTTAAGGCCTTGTCCAGGCTTCACTTTCTATGATTTTTAGGAGGTTAACAATTGTTAAGAAAGAAAAACCTCTAAAGGTGTTTTCATAATGTCTTGTGGCTGTTAGAACGGAAAAGGTTTTTGACTGAAGTTCAGTTATGCAAGACTACAGCTCTTTCATGCTGCAAGTTACAGGACAAGTTATAGGATTTCAAAGACTTGGTAAATAACCTATGATCAGAAAATTCAATTTGTTCATGAGGTGGAGAAAGGCATCCTGCTATTAAGTAGTCAGATGGAAAACATGCAAACCACAGTTTGTGGAAGAGAAAAGAACATTAAAAGCCCTTGCCCAGAAGCACAGGCAAGTGCAGGAAACACATTCAGCAAAGTCAACGTGTTCATTGTAAATGTGGGAAGCAGGAGCCTCAACACCAATTGAAATTCCAAACTGCAATAACCAGAGACATCACACCTAGGTCAATCCTCCAGTGGGGAACACTGAGGAGCCTATGAGATTCACTCATGCAGAACTGGGTTTG